ATGGAACAATTAATCACGAAAGCAAGTAAATTCTTCTTACTTCCTTTGTAATCGTAATATAACATACAAGAGATGTTAAATTTATAACCAAGAGCTAAATGAGCGGCTATATTGATTTGCTCTTTGATATTAGTAACATATCATTTGATTCTGGTGATATTTTCAACTAAGAGAAAAACCTAGGTTTACCTGGCGCGTATAAACTATCAATTGGTACAAAAGTGGAACTAACATCAGGCTTTTCATTAGCCATCCTAATACACATTACCACAAGGGAACCTATTAACAATATTAACAATATAGCAATAAAGAAACGTCGAACATGCAAAAGCGATGATGGTTCTGTTATTTGCGGTCGTTTGTATAAGTGACGCAGCATTTTTTTTTGTTTTTGATAGATTCTAATTTTACTTTCTTTTTCTTTAATGCAAGAAAAGGGATGAACGAATAATCCACAAAATTCTTGCTTTTAAATCACCCATCTTAATATTGAAAATTGGCATATTGATACAGTCAACTTTCAATATACCGAGCGATAGCGATAGCTCCTATTGTAACCAGTAACATACCGGTACATGCACGTCGGTTTATCTGTATCACAAATAATTGCATTTGCAAATTCTTTATTTGACTATATCGATATACGTACATGTACACGTTTCAGCAGTGATTGGTAGATGAATCTCCCAAACTTGAATTCTATGTGCTCGCATAATTCTGATGCCATTCATAAACTCTAATTACATTAAAATGTAATACATGTACGTACACAGCGACTCATTAAAGAAACGGAAAATTTTTTTCCGTCTATTTTGAAGACGCATTTACAAATTACTAAACTAAGACTGCTACTCTATATGCATCACTTGCCTGTATCGGTATCACATAATCCCTGACTCTTTCTGGTATCGAATTCGAAAAATCTTTTCCCACAAATCTTTTTTGCTTAAAAGTGGGCCAGGAAGATCCCGCAGCGTATATCGACTTCGTTCCATAAATTTTCGATTGGATTTAAGTTGGGGGACTGGGCGGGCCAATCAAGCAAATATAATGTCATTATCAAGAAATCATTGCTTTGCTTTACTTTACTTTACTAGACGTATGTTTGGGGTCGTTGTCTTGATGGATTATAAATTCACTATCTTCTAGCATTTTCTCCCAAACTGTACCCAATAAATTATTATTCAGTATATCGACATAGACATTCGCGTCCATTTTACCGTCTATTTTTCAGAGTTCACTAACTCCGCTGGCAGTCAAGGCAGCCCCAAACCATAACTGCACCGTCGCCAAATTGTTCACCAGGATACTTCTAGCACGATTTTCGCCCGTCCGACCCAAATAATTTGGAACTTGCTTTCGTCGGACCAAATTATTTTCCACCAGTCGTCGACCATCCAATTTCAGCGTTTTTTGTGTTTTTTCAAGTAATGGCTTTCTTCGCTTAATTCTTGCGAATAAGCCATCTCTTCTAAACATGCAACCGTCGTATGCTTTCCACTGAATTTCACTCTCAGTTCAGTTTGGAGCTCGTGTTGAACTTGGACGGCGGTAGCGCATTTTCCAGACGATATTAATCAGATGGCATTCCGTCCGTAACGATCCGAAAGAATGCGTGGACAACCGATTCTTGGTTATCTTCGAAGTTTCCGATTTCTTCTTTGTTCTTGCAGACGCGTTGGACCGAAGCTAAGCCCACCTGTTCCGATAATGCGATTTCCCGGGCCGAATATCCTTCTTGTCGAAGTGTATATTCGGGCGCATTTTTCTAGTGAAATGCGAGGCATTTTGGAATAATAAAAAATTATTGTTTAGAATAACGAAAATGTGTTCTGTAGATAGTGTAACGAAAAAAAGTGCTTTTATGCTTATCTTTATGGGCTTGAATTTGTCCAATTCGGTCATATTAAACAGAACGCTAAAAAAATACAGTTTATTATTATTTTAATGAATAAACTCCACTTTCTTTTGGTCTCCGATGATTCTTCAATGGCGAGATATTCGAATCTCATTATTTTTTTCCGTGTTCTGTTTTCGAATTTTTTAGAGAAAACTACGAATCGAACCCGAATAAACCGAATCCGAATTTTCGATACAAACTCAGCTTCAAAAAATTGTAAGTGAAAATCGAAACATTCACTGCGATCGTTTGATCATTAAAGAAAAAATAGTAATGAATACCTTTATTTGCATGTTTGTTGATTCGACATCGATATCTATATCATATTCAATAATAGAGTCGTGTGAAAACAAGTCTTTAATATATTGATTTGCTGATACAAAAAGATGATATTAATTAATGGCAATTTACCTTCGTTCGGAACAATAGGGTGTTCAACCAATCAAAACATAATTAGGGTAACATATGTCGATCATTAATGGAGGATTTTTCCAGGATCTGCATGGAACAAATACGTAATTTACTTTTTCTCAGCAAGTTTGTGATCATTTCGGGTCAATTTTTTTTTAATCGAAAGCTTTCTATCTGATATAATATCTTTTTTATATTATATTGTTCAAACGTACAAATTGCTAGCAAAATTTATTATTTTTTTTGTAAAAAAAAGATGTAAATAAAGATGCATATTCAAAAAATTCTTTATTAGTGTGTTTTCGAGACTTATAATAATAGATATTCAAATTTTCCGTTGATTTATTAATTCCATACTCGCAAAAAAGGAAGTTAAAACATAAATTTTGCTATTATTTCGGAGCCAAAAATGAATCACGGAAACAAATAGAAAGTCCTCAATTAATGATACCCTAATTACGTATGTTTTGATTAATTAGTCGATTGAACAATCTAACTTGACAACCCTAAAATTCAATATGAATTTTAATTAACGTGAAACGATAATATGGCTTACAGTGGCAATCATAAATAATGCAACAAAAAAATTACAATCCGTTAAATCGAAATATTTCGCGCAACTTGGAAAATATCCTTTTTTTTTGATGGTTTTTATTCGTTAATAGTGTCATTTTATATATCAAAAATTAAACATGGGTTCATAAGTCAAATACTTCGCAAATAATATCTTTATTCGATTTGGCCTGTTGCATTACTTATGTTCTTTTTTTAACACAACGCGAATACAATATATTAAATCGCATTTTTTACATTAGACTTTTTTTGTTTTTGTTAATATTTGATAGGATTCTACCCCTACCACCTCGCGCATTAATGACATTACGAACCCTTTTTCAGCATAGAGTGAATTAGGTTAGTGCAAGTTTCAACATCGATTTCTAGCCAAACCTGTTGGACTTATTCCACAGGTCATCCTTGTTCAAAATTTGCCCAGGGAGATGCTGAAGACAATAATCTACCTCATTCCACAAGTGTTCAATGGAGTTTAAATCCAAAATTCAAGAACTAATACAGTATCTTTATCCTATTGTTTCTAAACTGTCACTTTGTCAATTTGACCATAGGTTCAGAATTGTTATCCTGTTGGAAAATGATCTATTTAATAGCAAACTTATGTTTCTTGATTGTATACATAAAATCTTAATGAAGTATCTGTCGATATCATTGTCTCATCGATTTACAAAAGCCACTAACACCAAGAAATTCAAAGAAACCCGTATCATCGCCAACTACCTTTCTAAACTTCACGGTAAAGGTATTATAGAAGCGATTTAACAGTTCATTTGGACATTTCCAGTAATGCTGCTTGGTGTCAGGCTCAAAAAACTTAAAATTTGACTCACCTGATCATGTTACCTTTGGCCAGTTTCTGATGGTCTAATTTTCATACTTTCATGCAAATTCCGATGGATGTTTTCGATGTTCTTCACTTAGATAAAGTTTTTTTTTAGATTTTTGTTACTATTCCATTGTCCCGAAGTATCTGATGAATAGTAGATGTTGAAATATTAATATTATCATCATATCATAAATATTTTGAGCTTCTGATGACGGGTAAATACCTACAGGAGATAATAAGATTGCTGATTTTTTTATTGGTTCACTTATGGTGTGCGATCAATCCAGTTTTGCTGCATCTTCAAGGGAGTGTCTTTTATGTCATCTTTTATTAATACGGAAAACCATTGAGGGAACAATATTTTTTGACTTTGCTATTTATCTTGTAATATTTCATTTTGGAGAAAGGAGAATTTGAGCCCTTTCTTCTAGAGTCGAATGGGCATTTTCACCTTAGCTTTTTGATTAAAAAGCTGTAACATGGTAGAACATGTAAATAATACACAATAAATTTTCCTTTTACGTATATGATATTTATGTAGCATGACAATGACCATCTGATTTTTGCATAAAACGATCATATGTAATGCAACACGTGTTTTATACTACACTATTAACGAATAAAACTATCAAAAAAAAAGAGGATATCTCCAAAGTTGCGCAAAATATTTTGATTTGACTGATTTTACTTTTTGTTGCATTATTTATGATCGCCACTGTATATTTAGAATAAAAAGATTCGATTGATGTAACTGCATTTGAGTGGTTTTTTATTCGTTTTTGTAAGAATGCTTTTCATCGTCACATGAAGTTCATATAATTTCTGCTTTTCTAGTTCAAGACACCCAAGAATTTCTTCATGTGATTTAGGATATTCTAAAGAGTTATAGCACTGAAAATGCAAAGGATTCGGTTTCCACTTCTTATAGATCTCGAGTTTTGTTGATAGAGCAAATAAATCAAAGAGTTACTTAGAAGTTGGTCTATTTTCTGGAATATGATCTGCAGCTTTAGTGTATGATTTTCCATTTAGTACCTCTGGACTCATATAAGAAAGTACTCCGCAAATTTTTAGAACGGATTTTTCTATATCTGCTGATTTGGTAAGTTAGAGTGAAAGTCACGATACACAAATTCCTCATTGTGAATTTTACCCAACCCTTCAATAATAATATTTATACATTCTAATTTATCTTTATAATTCAATTCTTCATAGTTAGAATTAATATATTTGCGTAGATTGCCATCATTTGCATAATCATCACGATCACTATCGAGTATTTATTTGTAGCCGGGGCTTTTAGTTATTCCATAATAATTTGCATATTTACTGCACTTTAGGACAGCCTGAATCCTGAATCTAAATTTGAAAAAGTTAATTATATTGAAAAACCAAAAAAAAAAACAATATGCTTACACTTTAAAGTTATTCATTTATAAACTAGGATGCAATTTGCTTGAATTGTGTAATAAATTCAACACAACAATAGTTTCACCCTTTCGTTCAAATTATTTTCGATCCAACCAGGTAGAATCTGATTTATCCGACTTTGCTACTTTTAAAATGTCATCCATATGCTTGTTTCTCTTTATATTTTCAATCCTGTTTATAAGAATATGAAAAAATTGAATTTGACATTCCCATTTCCGAAAGTTTGAAATTTGATTTGATATCGATATGTTTTTCTCATCTCATAATTTTTCAATTCCGTACGCATTGAGGTTAACTTTCCTATTCATAACGAACAAAGAAAACATTCAATTTAATTTATTTTATTTTTTCTGTTATTCAGTAAGCAGATGAATTCTGTATTTATTTTTAGAATTATATTACAGTAGTAAAAAATAAATAATAATTTCAATAGTTCGAATTTCTATTATATCAAACCTACACTAAACCACAAAATAAGTTTTGGAAAAAGTTATTATAACCCACTTTGAGAAATTGAAGTTGGTCGATAAACTGGATTTACGTACTAAATAAATCTCGATAAACTGAATTTTTAAATTTCTGACCACAGGAATAATGCATATTCACTTTAATATACGTTGATAATTGCTTTACCGATAATAAAAGAAGAGCCTTCTTATTTGTACACACACAAATAAAAAGCTTCTAATATGCGTTCCGTCTCATGTATAACGTCAATACACATGTCTGATTAAAACACCAAATGCATGTTGTAATGTGTTCCTGTTCATTTTTCATGAAAAAGCGTTAACAGAACTCCGGTCAATTAAACTTATTTTATCTTATCACAAATCTTTATTTAATAGATAAATTTTTATAGTATTGATATATGCTCTGGAATTTTAGAGTTCAATCAAATCCTACTTGCAAAATATAACAAAATATATTAAGTATAAGTTAATAATACTCTAGTAACTTATAAGAAAGTGCAATCTGTATTCTACTTATATTGTATTGAGATATCATCTTTATTCTTATTTACCGCGGTTTGCAAAAAGGTGTAGCAATGCGAGATCAATCAATATATACATTAAACTATTAGATAATTTGTAAAAATGGTTTCATGTATTCGTTTTTTTGTATCATTTCTATTAGAATGTATAATGGCCGACTTAAATACAATATTGCAATTTAAACATACTTATTTTAATTTAATAAACGATTTTTGATTAATGTATTTAAATTAAAAATAAAGTGCGATTTAAGCATATAAATTGGATATTTAAATTGCGTTTTAAAATGAAATGTTGTATATAACATCAAACTTAAAATAAACGTAGTATTTATCTTTTATCTCACGAATTTATCTAATAGTTTGATGTATATACCTTGGATATATTGATTGATCTTGAATTCTCGAATTCTCCACTATTTACTTCGTTTGGAATATACACTTTTAGAGAACATTTGATATAAATTTTAATTAACATGGATGCCAATATGATTTATATTTAGAATAGAAAGTGTCTATTATTTGGAATTGAGATAAATCGATTTTTCGGTAAAAAATGGCGAAACAATATATACGTAATAGATATTTCACGGTCAGCCGTAGATACCTAGTATTTCCTGGATCCTAACGTCCTTGATTTTCTCCCTGATATTTCGTTTTCCGCTGATACAAACTTCAATTAACAAAAAAATGCCAAAACAACGTCAAAAGAAAAACGACTTTCATAATACACCAGTCCAGTTCATATTTTAAATTTCATAATAAAAAAATTCTAATCAACGACGAAAGAAGAATGACTTTCAGTTTTAATTTTATTTTAGATTTCAATGCTATATTTAAATTAGAAATAAACAATTTATTCCAATACTTACAAATTCAAATGCTTCTAAATAATTTCCTGCCATATACATTATTTAAATGTCTAAATATCCCCCGTCCAATACAATGTGTTATTATCATCCTTTGGAAACTGCACTCAATAAAAAATTAAAAATGATACCCTGACTTCTCACTCAAACAGTTCTATAAAAATCTCAACTATTACGACATTTCAATTATTATTGGTGAAAATCAGACTACTCAACGTATTTTTTTTTAGCCCATTCAGCAATATTGGTGGCAGTCGCAATATTTTGCGATAGCACTTTCTGATGCGAGAACCGAATATCGAACCTCGAGTTTTAAAATATTGATAAGGTAATTCATGACAAAATGAAGTGATGCCACTAAATAAAAGTGATAATTTGTCTGATTTAAAATTTTAACAGATATATTTACGGTGGAAAATTCGATTTGCAAAAACATGGTTTTCAACACTTTTGGATTTGTTAGTCACAGCCGATGAATTGATTCTCGAATATCATTCTGATGAAGCTTTAGCAGAGTTTTCCTTTAATCAATCAAATTGCATTCCAGCATAACTCGTTACCAAGCCTCATAAATTTTGCACTGATGTCACATGTCGAAAGCCAGCTGTTATTTTTCAATTAATTGATTTTACCAAGCTACATGAATCAGCTCTCGTTTGTTCACTCGAACGTGATCTAAATTTGAATAAAATCGACAGGTGTACCTCTCAAGCTGCAGATACAGGAGAAATCGATTCGATGATTTCAGCGGAAAAATGGACACATAACGAATTTAAACAACTCAACACTAAGCTCAAAATTACTTACCATTGATTCGTTTCTTCCACATCAATTCGGTTGATTTTTATAACAAAGTTATGCTGTATGAAATTTTACTGGGAACACTATATAAAGATTTGTTCTCATCATTACTTGAGTGAAGACACAAGGTTACCTTACACCCAGTTCGCACTTTCACTTCAATTCTTTCGCAGAATCAGACCTCTAAAATAATTGACTGGATTAAATTACAAGATGATAATCAGAAAAAATCGATTAAAATGAAGCTAAATCAAATTATGAAAATATCCCCCAGGTACCTATGTTCGACTTTTACAGTATATTTTCAATTTTGCTTTCAAGCGATAATATATTAGCATAAATAGCTCTAGAATACTATCTTAAGATGTAACTAAAAAAAATGTATATAAAGGTCCTCGAAAAACATCAACAAAAGACAGAATTAATTGCGCACAATTCTTCTCCAAGTAAAGTAACAATTGTAAAACGGAAATAAGTGCGTACAATTCTTCTACCAACTGATATAGTTTTGTAAAGACACCGAATTTGATTGAATTAGGTCCTTTGGTCCAAAAAGGCATTAAATAGTGATATTGAAAACGGAATATTAATTGATTGATTGAAAAGCATTTTGTGATTGCATAATTTAAGGCTTTTAGTTAGAAAAAGCAAACGATTTGAGTTTAATTTAATAGACATTGTTGATAGGAATATCCCGCCACTTAAGAATAAAGAAATCCAAATTCCCTTAGATAGACATTAAACCAGCCCCATGAAGCCACTCTCGTCATTAATCCAACGATATCTGTAGATATCGGCACAGGAATTAGATACCGACGAACACGAATTAGTCTTTACACGCTCCCTACTCTTTTGTTGTAGGTAAAATACTCAATTACACCTAATTACGAACCACCCGCAAGAATGTCTTGCGGATCCGGTCGTTGAGAATACAAACTTTGGAGACTCGTATCTTCGTTAATACGCGACCAATTTTTATGACACAGAATTAGTTTCGTTTCGGTTAGACGAGTCGAATGAGTCCAAGTTCGCGGAAATCTGACCACAGGTTGGCAAATACTGGCGTCCAAAGTTATCCTACGGATCTGACTGTTATTTTTTGTTGTTTATCAACGCGGGGATGTTCTTATTTTTCTTAACCATTTATATTATAGTTCGATTATTGCTATTACTGTGGTTATATAAAAACACGTTGTTTTCATAACATAAGGATAATTTGAATGGGGCGTTAATAGTAAAGGAGAAAAGATCTCCAAGAATTGCATATATCAAGCATGCTTTGGACGCGATGTCGCGAAATCTTAACGTTGTTTTTTGCTGTGGAATAAAATCATAAAAAACTTGCCGATTCTTCTGCTTCCAGAGAATGCAATATATTGTGGCGAATATTATCCTCTCTTCGATTTTTACAAACGTTTCACGGATGTTATGTGAACGGATATGATAAATGGATAGCTAGAGAAAAGAATCGGATTTGGAGACTCGATTTTGTTGAAGGAGAATCAGAAATTCGAGGCTCTGTTTTCTCATTCTTCTGTGAGTCGGTGCCAGATAGTAGTTCCTCAGTTTTTATAGTCTGACATTCAGGACGCTTATTTTGCATTCTTTTTATCGGGACAAGCAAATAAATCCTTATAATCGTCTTTAAGTGGAATAGTAGAACTGGCTTCATTGCATTCCGGACACAAAAACAACCCCGATTACGAACGCTCCTAGCAAGAGTTTCAAGATTAAACCATAAAGGGGTATCATCCCAGGCCAGAGTTCTTTAAAACCATTCAATGCGAATTGTTTGATGGGTTCCATTTTGTATTAGTACTATTTACTAATTTTTTTCTTTTACTCTAATATATTGCTTCTTAATTAGGAATTAGTTTTGCTATAAAAAAGACAGACATAAAATGTCTGCATCGCAACTCTCTTGTACACGCACCATATATTTTCCCTCATATTTTCAAAAATGGCCGAATTTGTAAAAAATCTTGCTGGTGGATAGAAGGATGTGAATTACATTGGTACTGTTTACCTCGCAAGTCATGTTCTGTTTGTGGAAAATTTACAGCCTCCGAATCTGAAGCTATTTTGCTATGAAACGATATAATATATTGAGTGCCATTTTCTAAATAAGACCAGGGCAACTTTGTTGCGAAATCACATGGCTGGAATTTTCGGCGCTGAAATTTGCAAAGAAAAATTCTCGATCATTCATAAATCAATACCTAACATGGCGAAACCTTTTTAGACGTTATGATATTTATTACAGATAAAATATTAATGGATGGATTGCATGGGAGGACGTGTTCTGAAAAAATCAGAACATTAGCAGTCAAACCCAAAGCATTTCCTCGAAAGACGACGACTGTCCCTATACTTTGGCCGCTATCATTCATTATTACTATTACAGTTATCAACATACGACAAAAATAAGCAGAAACTATTTTAGTGAAATGGAAACATTGTCATCTGAAAATTCAGTCATAGATGTTGCTACTTCGGTTGTAAATCCAGGTGATGTGAAACATCAAGGAGACGTGTCTCGATTTTCCAGATGCAGGATCATCTCTGATTCCCCAGTCTTGCAAAACAGAGTTTTTTCGAAATGGGAACTCCATATCAAAACCACGAGTCTTCTCACAGAATGATGATCTTTCCGTTGTCTTGCAACAAATGATAATTACAATTATAGCTAAACAAAAAAGTACGTACTCGCAAGAGTAGCACAGTACCCTTTGCAGGAATTTTTTTATTTAATCTCGCTTTTGATTCTGAATTCAAGCAAAACTCAGATAATAACTAATTTGGGGCAAGATGTTAAGGCATCAAGCGTTCTCGTAGCATGCTACACAAAATTTAGCCCAATTGTATGATAAAGTCACTGTTGCGGAAGATGGTGCTAATTAAGAAATATTACGGAAAAGAATTCGGAATCGGTGTGAACCATTCCAACAAATATCGATACAAAACTTCTTGATCCTCATACAACAAAGACGCATACTTTTACAGATATCAATGCTAAAAAAACAAAAATTATAACTTGCTTAAAATATGGATTTCATCTTCACTATAATTCTTTCCTCCGATTGATAATAGACAAAATAAATAAGCTTTCCCTTTTATTTGATTCTTCCGATACTTATTCAATTATTCGTTCTTTGAAATCTAGCTTTATTGAGAAATCAAATTAGAGATTTAAAACGTTGAAACTCTGATGCTATTACTTTGGTTTAATTTAAATTTATCTTTTCATTATATAAAACAAATAAAAACAAAGTACATGTAGATAAAAAAAATTCACAAAAACAAAACATGCGTTAATACGTATCGGTATTGATATTCATCAAATCGATTACTGTATTTAGATGATTTAGGGTCACCAACTACATGACATGTAATGTTTATATGTACGTACATGTACATATCGATATGTACGTTACAGATATGTGTGTATATTTGATAAAAGATAAAAATAAATGTAAATAGTACATGTATATAACGATAATAGGAAACTTTTCAACTATATAACAAATCTAATATCAATTCAAAATTAAAGGGTTGAATCCAATTGAAGCCTTAATCCGATTATGAATATCCTCTTCGACAGGAACCTTTGTGTCTTCCCATCCACATCCGCTCAGACCATTCACCAAACAAATATAAAGATCCTTAGAATAACCTTTCTTTAAATCTTCATGCACATAATGAACGGCATGCGGCGCATGACATTTAGGACACGTGAATGTATTGGCATTTAGTGGAATGATTACATCATCTGTGCCAAGTAATAAATATGGGTGAAGAGGTTCAAGAAGATATTTCGTGTGATCTTCATTTCGTATCTCATCATGGACAATAACTGATTTCGGAAGTTCTGAGGTTGGTGTACGTGAAAGTTGTGGCCTAACGATAGTAGATGATGTGATATTTGTGATCTCAGGTAAAGTATTATTTATTGTTGTTGTAGATTTGATTTGCGTGTCTGTTGTCGATAGTGGCGTTGACGTTGTATTGTCAACTTTGGAAGAAGGTTGCGGTTGTTGCTGAACCGTAATCGTATGGTTTTCCACTTCATTATAAGAGTATAAATTAATTATGATTTATAAATCGTGTATTAAAAATAAAAACTAATAACTTACAAATAGTAACAGTCATCTTCTTGTTGTGGTTGTGGTTGCGGCTGTGGTTGTCGACTTTGTTGTTGTTATCGACTTTACGAAGTTTTCGTATTGAGAAAAGTCCTAGCGCTATACTCTAATTATTGATATAGAACGATATTGATTATACTAAGTTCAAATCATGTAATTGGAATTTAGAAGTAAAAAAAAAAAGGATGAAATTTAACAGTCTTTATAAATATTTTATACTATATTTATAAATATTTTATACTATACACAACATAATTATTAATTATTAATTATTACATGTATCTATTACTACTGCTACATATCGACATACATGTACATGTAATGTAGAAAGATGCACAATTCCGTCATTATATACATGTACATGTACTTACAAAAACTTTAAGTTTCTGATATATCGATATTGTTCGTTTAGTCGCTGTGCTACTGTTGCTCGTAACTGTATTTGACAAAGTGGCTGCTGTTGGATTGAAAGAAGCTGAAATTGTGGTAATGTTGTTGCTGTTGCTTATCTCCTCCTCCATTAGAAATAGTCTGAGAAAAGTTGTGCGTTCTATAGAAGAAATACCCAAAAAGTAACTATACCATTTCGAATAATAGAAGAGGGTTAAAAATAGACTCATTTATCAGAATCTACGCTAGTCATATTTATACATGTAACAATATGATTATCGTTATCGTTATAACGATAATGGTAATAATAATGATAATAATAATGATAATAATAATGATAAATTCAATGATATACATATCGCTATTGAATATTTATCTATGAAATAAAAAGTAAATCGGGGGCGACGAAATCTCATTTTTCGTTTGTCAACGTATGCAAAAACCGCCCCCATAATCGTTCTCTTGTTTAAGTCATTGTAAAGAATAACTTACATATATATTTCATAAAAGAAATCGTAACGGTAATATTTGACATCATAGCACATTTCATATGTCGATATGGTCAATCAATCTTGTTCTCTTTCACGTATAGATGGGAGGCATAAATGCCGTATTAATTTCGGCTGCCAAAATAATTTAGACAATTTACGCCGAAATTAATTACGTATATTACATTGCATGGGAAAACATTTTATAATCTAACCAGATTGATTATTATTACTTATCATTAATACCGATACATGTACATGTAGAATGATTTCGGCGGCAGTGATCGCCTTATATGGTAAGAGTTAATCAACAATAGATTAGATGTAAAAAAGTGATTTCCTTGAACACAAATTGCATCAGGATGCTAAGAAAAGCAAATTACACAAAATATAAAGATAACAAAAAATCATGTTATGTTGTCTTGTTTTCATATTTAGCCAAATTTTTTAAACTATCAGACAAGCATTAACTAAAAGATTTTAAATATTATTTTGCTAATTTTAATAAAAACAACATTTTTATATGAATATTTATTCAAATTACAATTTAAAATTAATGTTTATTTTCAAAAATGAATAATTTAATATTTGAAAATCTAAATTGCAAAAAAGAATTTATATTATTAATATTTTAATTAAAGCTCTGTTCGGGTCGGGTCGGGTTCGGATCGGGTTTGATCCGAAAATCGTAAAATAGTTTTTCGTTAATAACTTTTATTTTTACTAAGATACTTGTCTAGTTCGGAATGTAATTGTGTATATACCCACAAATTTTCGTTTAATTCCAATTAATATTGAACGAGAAATAACGATTTTTAGGCTGACCCGAAATGTGCGCTCCGGGTCGGGTCATGGATTGGACCCGACCCGGTTGGAGCACTAATTTTAATAAAATTATAATTAATTTTACAATATATTTTATATTAATTACAAATTATTATAATATTTATTATATTTAACATTAATTTTAATTACAGTGACTTACAAAATAATGCATTACTTTCAAAATTTATTAAACAACATACTAAAATATGGATTTCAATTTTATTAATCAATAATTCATATTTAATATATATTTAATCTGAGAAAGTTTTTCTAATTGCAAAGTTAATTGATTGATTTTTTATAATTAAAACATATAAAAAATTAATTATCTTACTTTATAATTAGAAAAATCTGAAAAAATATATGTTAAAATATAGATTATGGTTTATATTTTTTGTATAAAAATAAAAAATTGAAAACTTTTATATAAAAAGAAAAACCATATTTTATTTATTATATTTTATTAATAATTTTGAAAGTAATATATTAGTTTTACAAGTTATTATTTATATATTTATAGTAAATATATTTTATTTTAATATCAAATTTTTTGATTACAAATTAAATAAAAAATTTATGTTATAATATTTATATAATAAAATATTAATATATAGTAATTACCAAATAATAAAATTATATAAAATTTTATTAATAAATATAATAAAAATTTAATTTTATTAATAAATAAATTAATTTTAATATAAAAATCATAATTTATATAGTTGAATATATATTTTTGTGAATTTTTTAAATTAAAAAAATTTTTATAATTAATTTATATTTTAGTTATAGAAAATTTTTACAATAACTTTGCAATTAAAATAATATTATTTTTTTAATTATTATTATTTTTTTAATTATTATTATTTTTTTAATTATTTTATCAATATTAAATTTTAATTAGTAAAATTTTGAATACTTAAAATTAATAATTGTATAATTAATAATAATATTAATATTATCATTATAATTAAATTTTTTATTAACTTTTTATCTCTTTGATTTATAATATTTTATGTTTTTTGCAAGTATTTAATTTTAAAAATATTATAACAAAATATATAAGTTTGAATAGTATTTTTAGAATTATATTTATTTTTAGAATTTAATTAATTTTAAATATATATAATGACAATCAAAAATAATATAACAATGTTAAAATTTATTAATTAAATATAATAAAATATGAATTTTTCTCTTTATATAAAAGTTTTTAATTTTACTAATAAATATTTTTTATTTTTATATTAAAATAAGATAATATTACATATTTTAATATATATTATTTTCAGATTTTTTAGATTTAATTTGATAAAGCTATTATAATTGCATATAAAGTCAATTATTTTTTATATTTTTTAATTATAAAAAAAATAATTGACTTTATATGTAATTAGAATAGCTTTATTAAATTAAATCTAAAAAATCTGAAAATAATATATTAAAATATGTGATATTATCTTTATTTTAATATAAAAATAAAAAATATTTATTAGTAAAATTAAAAACTTTTATATAAAGAAAAAAATTTATATTTTATTATATTTAATTAATAAATTTTAATATTGTTATATTATTTCTAATTACTATTATATATATATAATATTTTCAAATTCTATAAGAGAAATTTCATACTTAAAATTAATTTTAATTTAATATTTTTAACTTAATAAAGAATTATATTTTTTTTAACTATTCTTTAAACTTTTTGATTAATATTTATGACTATTATTTTTAATAAAAATTAATTTAGACTAACAAATAACTAAATTATTATAACCAATTATAATATCTAAGGTTTTATTTTTTTTGCTTTGATTAATATTAGATTTATTTATTTCTTAGATATTTATTTGTATTAGTTATAGCAATTTGAGTTTATAATTGTTCTAATATTTCTTTTTAAGATAATAAATTTTTTTATAATTAAATTCTATAAATTATTTTGATTTATAAATTATTTATAATAAGTAAAAGGTTATTAATAATATAAAAAAACAAGGTTTAAAATAATGATTATAAATTTATCTATATAAATTTTTCAATGTTTTTATATATAAGTAACTTTTAATATAAGAAATTTATTAGGTATACTCAAAATCTTTTTTATTTTTTTATATTGCTAATATGGCTTTTTTTTGTTGCTCTATTTTTATATTGTATAACTTTTTGTGTTTTTATCAGTGTAATTCACTTGGCTTTTTCAGTTTCAGTTGCTTGTTTCTTGATTTTGCTGGTTTCTTTTTCTTTAAATTTCTTTTTTCAGAAGTTGAAAAATGATCTGATAAACTATTATTAGTTGACGATCTATCAATTAATGATCTACTAGTAAATGAAATATGAGAAGATATATCACTAGCTAATTAATTACTAACAAATTCACCAGTTTCCATTAGTATTACAAGAAAGTGGAGAAAATTATTAGGAATGCAGAAAGAAGTATTGTGGAAAGAAGTGTTATTAAAATGTCATTATAAGTAAAGGATGAGAAAATAAATTTGAAAATTTGGCAAATTTTTATTAATAATCATGTGGTTTCTTATATCACGACTAATTTAAATAGGAATGGACAGAGTTGATCTTTCTTATATACAATATCGAGAGTTTCTTGATAAACTTATATCAAGTATAATTTATTAAACCTAAATTGGGACCACTCAAAAACTTTCTTATAGGCTAACTTTCTTATATCGAGAGTCACTTGTATATTGTATTATTGTTTAAATGTCTGTGCAAATTGTAAACACAAGCAAAACGATATGAATTTTGTTCTCGTTATCGTTATCATAACGTTAGCGTTAGTAATTTGGTTGATTATAAAAAATGATGTACGATATAACGAACCTCTTGAGCTGGAAATTTTTTTCGTTATATCGAGTTTTCTTATGAAACTTCGCTATATAGAGGTAATTTTAAAACAAAAAGTCTTTTTTTATTTCGTTATATCAAGGATTTCGTTATATCAAGGATTTCGTTATATCCAGGTTTCGTTATATCGAGGTTTGACTGTAATGTTTACTGATGTATGTAATTGGATAAATAATATTAATAGAGATTCCGTGATGACTGTTAGGATTATAATTTCGGCTCATAACTTAATGAATTTTAATTAAAGTATAATAAAATTAGAGCATCATTCTTAATTTATTGTAGTATTTCATGAATCTGTAGTTTTTGTAAAACACTCGATATTTCTTCATGTGGTATACTAAAGTCAAAATCTGTTATGAGCTAACGTTAATGAAATGCAATTTTTTATTTTTTTGTCTGAAACTTACATGCAGACTCTTGTAGAGCCTAAATA